TCACTCCTCTACCACCCCCCTACAACCACCACAACTCAACCCCCAGCCCTCCCTCCATCACCTCCTCTTCCTTCCCCTCCCTCACTCCCCTATTAGCACAGGCTCCGGGTCATAACCTTTCCGTGGCATTTTGCGATTCCACAACCCTTTGATTAGTGCAATATTTACATATTTCACAGTGGAGAGGGCGTTCTTGTGTCGCAGACACTTGAAGTGTTGTAAATGCGTTTGGCCTTTTGCCTGGGAAATGTGGAGGAGTTGGACTCTCTGGTGGTAACTGTAGTCAAGGCTGCCGCGCTGATATGCGCCGTAGTGTGTTTTAAGTATATTTACCCCCTCCACCACCCACGCTGCAGTCATTGCACATATACAAGTGCCATTTGGTCTGTGATGTGGCCCTTGTCCTCCTGAGGAAGGCCGTTTAGCAGCCATTAGAGAGGGATAGTGCTCCCTGGTGGCAGATATAGATCATGCCCTCTGACTTGGACGGTACACAGCAGAGGGTTACATGCAAAGAAGAAGAAAGGAAGCTACTCTAGAGGGATGACTACTGTTTATTCTCACATGCAGGAACACAAGCTATACCAGAGAGACATGAATGATATGCAAGGTACAGAAACAGGGTATGCTCTGGATGAGCTACACTATAGTTACTGTAACAGATAAGAAATTGACTCTCTAGTGAGTCAGTGCAGTCCATTTCTCCCTTTCAGCCCCTTACTCTGTGCCCCCAGGTCAGGATCCCTTGGAGGATCATGGAGCGTTGTGCATTGCTGATTGCCATTCTTGATACTACCACGGGACCGCACCAAGTAAGACATTTTTAAATCTTACACATACAGGTTTTAAACAACAGTTTTACCCAGTTATTATTATTCATTTGTGGATCAGAAGTGTGAGGAGAGAAAATTGATCCAGTTTTATATGGAAGGATTTTAAGTCTTGCTGGAGTTGTGCCTTTGGGAATGGCAGTGTCTGTCTTTTGACTGGTCAGTCCACCACTTGGTCCGGATTGAAAATTCTCTTCAGAGAGGAATTACCATCAAGTACAATACCCACATTCCTGTTCCCCTGAATTTTATTCACTTTAGTAATCCCTTCACTTTCCATCTAACATCATCACCAGGTCTAAATGTGTCCATTATATTGGTTTATGACCAAATACCTGTAAAACTAGTGACATTCCCTTCAGCCTCAGCTGTACATTGTGTTTAGTGCTAATTAGTAAATGTTGTTAGCATTTAGCTCAAAACACAGCTGTGCCTAAGTACAGCGTCATGGAGGTGTTAGTGTGGCTGTTAGTCTTGATCTAAAGCTCGCCTTGTTTTAAAGAACCACAGACCCACTTGAAAAAATATTGCTCATGGTTTACGGCTGAGTGTCTTAATTGAATGAACTTGAATTCAAATAGCTCATACAAAATGTTGCCCAACCACATTCAAAGGCAGGGTGGTCATATAAAGTTGGGGCGAGACGCAATAATCGTTTCAATGGAGATAATGCGAATATTCTCCTTGAACTTATTTTTATGTGTTGCACTCATTTGAGCAACATGAAAAGTGATGAAAGAAGTGAGCTAGGGAGTTTAAATCCTGCCTACCGTCAGTGCGTCGTGAAACAGGCTTACTTGTCAGATTTGGTTACAAAATATAAAAGTTCCAAAAATTGTCAGACATAGCCCCCTCAGTTCCAAGGTCAAAAGCTTTTCAACAATCCGAAAAGCATTTCTTTTGAAGCATACTGGTGCCTTTATTGTTCTGTGGAAGACTAAATGTTGTTTTTGGCTTTCTCCTGTTCAGAATATGATTGTGAGTGAAATACCTTATCAAAACCATTAATGGCATGGTCAATAATAGCAGCCACAATGAGTGTCTATCCAAAAGTCCTGTATCAGCTGAACCCAAGTTTCAACCACACATAGATCAACTGTAAACACACTTTTAAAAAGGTAAAAAAAAGACTTTATGTGCAGTGGGAAAAAGTAATCTGTAGATACCCCTGTGGTTACACCTCTGTCAAAGCAAAGACTTTCAAAGAGAACAACAGCAGCTTACTTTTGCGACATAAAGATGTGAAATAAAAAAGCACATTATACTGTGTTCTCCACCACACCTATCCATCAAAGCTGAGTCAGCCTGACATTCGGCGTATTTTCCGCCTCAGTCAGTCATTCAGTCAGTCAGTCAGCTTCTCTCTGCTGTGTGACAGAAAGAAGAGATGTCAGCGAACAGGTTTTTCAGGGAGCTCAGGGCTGCCACGTCTGCCTTCGCAGTGACTGATGAGGTTGGGAAGAGTGACGGGCAGCTGCAGTCTTTTCTCAGCCCGCGGGCCTGCCTGGCATTAACGTTATGTGCCATGTTCTCAGAGGGAACCCGTCATTCAGCCGTCGCTCAAACCGACAGACAGATGGTGCACATAGACACCGAACATGAAAGAGACTGGCAAAGTAGCAACGAATCCCTAGGTGGTCCCTCGTAGTTGAAGGGTGAGGGTTTCTCATCACCGTTGCTTGGCAGCTCGACTTCAACCGCACGGCCACACATGGACATCAAGGTGCCAATGGGTCCGGATGAACATCAAAGTTTCTATCCATCAAACATGTCACATGCTATGAAAGGGAACAGCTTGCAGTATGGCTTAGGTCTGATCTGTTTTCACCTCATCTTCATGAATCATGACTATTTTCAGTTTCTTCTGCAGGTAATGAAGATTGTGTGTGGAGGAATCAGAACCACAAGGTTTTAGAAAATAGAAACTATTATAAACAGCAGACTGTATTCAAGAAGCCGGTTACAATGGTATGGAGTATAGTATGGGTTTTATCAAGTAGGTGCATTGTGTGGGTTGGAAAATTTACGGTTAATTTGACTGGGATAGTAAATATGTAACATATGAGTAAATAAGTAACATTCAACTATTTGTTTTTGGAGTGAAGTTGCCGATCTGACCACATTTGTAGTATAAAACCAGCAAGAGAAAGTCTAAGGATGGCAAAGTTGTGAGGGTGGAAATATATGCACTGAGTAGCTGTTACTCTAACCTGAAAAAAGGGGTTAAAAATCTCACATGTGCTTCTGAGCAATGCACAGCTTGTCATGTTTGCATCACTTTGCGTAATATTGCCTTATATTCGGCTACAGGCTACATGATAGCCAGCTAGCTAGTTAGCTAGCTAAGATTGGTTCATGTGATAGCAAAATGTAAGACAATATTGCTTGACATGATGTAAACATGTCAAAAAGTTATAAAGGTTTGGATGATATGGCGATTTAATTCGGTCTAAAGCAGTTATTGGATACTCATATTTATACAGCCACAAAGGCAAAAATACTTTTGGTTTTTCCTCCAGAGGGGCAGCTCAGCCAAAGAGGGCAAATGAACTGTTGCTTGGGCAACTTAAGCCTGGGATTGTTCAAGTCCTTGCTATAATGAGACTCAAAAGTGCAAGATAAGAAAATATATTAGAGTAAGCAGCACCCAAAGACAGAGTGATCAGACCCACAGTCTAGCCATCGTAGAGCATACATTATTTTAAAGATAGTGACACATCCTGGACACTGGATAGTCACACCAGTAAGGATGTATGCATGTGGAGTGTGGGGTTTGAAAAATGTATATACTACACTAAATGTGTGCAAACAATGTGAGAATGAATGATTATCATCAATGAAGTGATTAACCTTCAGAGCTGTATAGTGAGTTTCAGCTGTCTGAGCCACAACTTTACTGTTTCTCCCTCTCACCGATCCTATGCCGTTGCTTTCAGTGAAGAAGCTCTTATAACCCACTATACACTTCCTGCACAGCAGACAGACACAGTTAGCGGCTACCTGGTGAAAATAGTGGAGCATTAGCAGTTAGAGTACCAGATATTTCCCTCAGAAGCTGGTAGAGACCAAATACAGAGCTAAAAGAGAGTGAGTACTGGACTCACATTCTCCAGGTGGCCAGAAACAAAAACTCCAAATGAACAAATGCTTCAGAACTGCTTGAAATGTTCACCATATTAAATTAAAAGGTGGTGATGTAGCTGCAGGTAAAAAGAGAACTGGCTTTTAGAGGGGGCCACCAGATATCACACAAACTAAACTCAGTCTGGAATATACCAGTATTGTATACATATATTAACTCTAGTGCATGTGTCCCCGTGGAGGTTAGGCAGATACTACTGTAGGCGACTGTGGTTTGTCTTCTGGCTCACAAAATGTATCATCAGCTGGTTGAAAGTTGGAACAGAGAGGTGGAAAAGAAAGTTAAAAAGTTTTCCCACACGTGATCTTTATTTTTGAATTTAGATAGGAAAAGTACATATGCATATACACTGCAATGATAACTGCATGGGAGACTAAATGTCCATCTTTTGTTTATATTAATTTTGTTCTTACAGTCAGATAAGCCAAAGGTTATACAGTACATGTAGATAAAGTTGCTTAATTGCTGTACTTCATTCCTTCCAGGTGCCATTGTTTCATCATGACTGTATTGCAGATTTTGTTTGTTCATACTATGCAACTCTGGTCTTGAATCAATAAATCTGAATCTTGTCATGGAATCTGACATCAGCAACATCGGAGTAAAATACCAAGAGCAGTTTTAACAATGACAATTTGAGACCTCAACTGTAACAAAATGAATGAGGAGATGTGGACATGACTGACTGGCCCTGCTCATTACTTAGGACTGATACCAGTACAGCCTGTGTGCACAGTGTTGACAGTAACATCTGGTGACAGTGAGTGACCATGGGAAGAATAAGTCATGTAGGGGACACAAAAGAATATAAAATATACTCCGTTTTTAATCCTGTCAATTCTCTAAGACAGTGCACTGTGTGGTCCTTTGTAAATTCCACACTGGCAGTGGGAGTAGAAAGGGAAAAAGAACATTTGCAAAATGTGAATCGGTGAAGCGTTTTCATCTAAACTTGGACGTGTTCAGTCACAGTGGCTGAGGTAAATTTAAAACAAACAAGCAAAACCAGATGAAACAGCGCCAACAGGTGCCATTTTGTGTGTCTTTATTGTGGACATGACATTACATCTTTTTGAAATGATGTACAAAAGTGTAACAGAACTGAGAATGGCTCAGACGAGGTAGAGCTTTCACATCGGCTTGCTGGCATGAAAACTACACAGTATAAAAACAAAAACAACCCAGAAAGAAATCAAATTAAACAAACTCCTGTCTGCCTCTGTCCTCTTATCCTTTTTGAAGTGATAATAAATACAGATATCAACCAAATACATTTGGAATAATAATGTCTTCTAAGGTAAATTAATCATGAAGTTCATAACAAATTTTAAAAAAGCAATACGGACACAAATAATACAACTTAAGAGGCATGATAAAAACCCAACCAAAGAGAAATGAACAACACCTGCCAGCCCCTCTGGGAGGGCAGCCATGACTAGCTACTGAACAAATCCTACAGTTTAGCAAAGAGAAAGACTAAAAACACACTCTTACATCTTTATGAAAAAATAAGCACTGCTGCGCCTAGCATCATCAAACTTTCCATGAGGAAACATGGCTGTGTCACACAGCCGTCACAGAACAAATCATTTGTCATTAAAATCTATGGAATTATCCTAACAAAAAGCCTCTAAACCAGAAATGACATTGAAGTGTGTTAGCTGGCACCATTAAAAAGACATTCTCAAAGAAACCTTAGCTAGAGTTGGACAACATAAGAATGGTTAAAGCAGTAACCTAGTCTAAGTGCACTAGTAATGCCATTTGGTTTCTACCGCTGTATATAAGGGTTTGGTAAGAGTGGATTACAGATATACAGTTTATATTACATACACTCACTCCTGCTTCATAGTTTTTCTAAGTCACACTTCGGAGTACAAATTCATAACTGAGAAGTTAATCTTAAAGGGAATTCTGTACAACATTGGTATTAGTACTACACTACCTCGAAGGCTAGAGTATCCGTTTCAAGTATTTTCACTACCCACACCTTCAATATACACGTTTGTGTATTATTAGGCATATTCAAGCACACAGTATTGTATGCATAACTCAACAACCCACTGCTATAGCAACCATTTCATCATCCTGTAAAAACTACTGAGGTCTCAAAATAGATGGGAAGTACAGTACTCTGTATGCTCCGTGATCTTTAACTGGTTTGAATTTTGATTTTAGGCGTACAAAGATGTCTCCGCAAATCCACAGTTCTACTCTTGCTCTGTAAGTCGAGCTGCTTTGAACTACCTTGCTTCTCTTCTCTTCTTTTTCCCCAATGTGGCTTTTTCAATCATGGAGGAGAGTTAAAACCAAGCCCAGGACTCAAAGAGAACATCTTCTCTGAGCAATGAACAGCCCCTGCTTCATACCAGCCAATATACTTCAAAACACGCTTTCATTGCAAAGGAGGTAGGCTAGTATACAAAGCATCTAGAGGGAGGCTGGCGTACACAGAAGTTAGTCAACCTCTCATACAATGTGTAGAGGTTTGAAAAGAATGCACATACACCTGCATAAATGCACACTCTCACCCACACCTGTGTTAAGGCTGTGATGGCTCTACAATTCAATAGGCTTCAAAACATCTCCATCTTGTGTATTCAGACCTGAACTCTCTGGAAGCCTGCCCTCTTGACCTCTGGTTGCTCTCTCCCTCTCTCTCTCTCTCTCTCTCTCTCTGACTTCCTTACTCTTTCCTCCCAGAATGCAAATCTTCACATCACCATTCAAAAAATTAGACTGACAGCATGGGAGTTTAGCTCATTACTCTGCTTAAACATATATACATAAATACGCTAGTTCACTTTCTTGCTGAGGGACAGATGAGAAGATTGATACCAATCTCGGGCTATAGCCAGCAGCCAGTTTGCTTAGCTTCGCACAAAGGCCGGGAACAGGAAGAAAGAGCTAGCCTGCTTCTGAACCTTCCTTCTAAAATGTTTTGAGTAACTTTTAGAGGCCTGAATGGGTAAAACTTTCCTTTATTTTACAAGAAAAAAGGTGAGTCACCTATTTTTATATAAAATACATATGGTTATCTCCTATCTGGCTAAGATCTTGTAACCCCTGAGATTACCATGTGTTGCTGACTGTTGCAGGCTTTCTACCGAGGGACTGGATTAGTTTTGGTACCAAAGCTTTCATTGCATATTGGGTTAAGGAAAACAACCGGCCAAAAGGTCAGTGTTGTCCTTCAGCAATATGAAATTGAGACGCATCTTTTCTGGCTAACACCAGCAGTACCATATTCTCTTTTGCAAGTACACAAGCTGGAGTTTAATCTATGCAATCCACAGCTGAACTAGCATGGTTCTGTCATTTATTTTGGAGTCAGTCTCATTCAAAGTCAGAAGTGTCGGAAACACTCCCTAATATAAAGGAGTTATGAAGGAAAACTGCCTCCACTCAGTCCCGTCCTCTTAAATGGACAATAATTGAATGGCCATAAAAATGGTACGCTCGTTTATATTGGCTATTAAAAACGTGCACTCTTTTTAATGAGCACTAAAGTAGACACCCCCATTAGCGTTCTCTCTCTCTCTCTCTCTCTTTTTAATCCTACCTCTCTCTCTCTCTCTTTCTCTCTCTCTCCTTCTAATCATCAGCTACACAGCATCAGAGTGGTCACTGCACTCCTAACATTACACTCTGGAGTGGAGGGAAGTGAGTTTAACACACACACACACACGCGCACACACACACACACACACACACACACACACACACACACACACACACACACACACACACACAGAAGCAAGGCTTCATCTTCTCTTCATGACTTAGAACCCAGAGGAAACAAACTTGCAATGCGTCAGTTGACTTTTGATGAATTGCAGAGCATCTTCTCTCACATCTCATCTCTGATGATTGGTGTCCTGAGGAATGCACAAACTCTTATACAATAAAGCTAAGAGAAAAAAAGGGGGTAGGGGAGGGGGGCGACTAGCAGCAGCCATGCAATGCCACATTAAAATGCTAGCAGTTGCACTCAAGTTCAGTTTTGCTGCTTCTTGTCATAAAATCTTTGCTTTCTTTGTAAAGCTGTACTGGGCAACTTCATTTGTTGGTACCTCGAAAATGGCAGCCAGAGACAACTCTTTTTAAGGGCTTCTATATTCAGAAATCCTTTAAGGTGATGTAAACTACACACAATCTAATCTTTTTTTTTTTTTTGCCATTCTAAAGAAGACCAAAAGAAGCAAAAGATCCATTATTGGTGAGTCCAGATTTCCTGCTGAGGAGATACTTTATATTTCACTGTTCATTTCTTCTGCGTAGAGAAGATGTCCCGCCTGTGTGCACACCTAACACCTGAATTTCTAACTGCAGAATTTCACCAGAAATTCTTTCTAATAGTAGATAAGACACTCCTCTCTGCTGCAGACCCCACATTTTGATTTTAAATCACCTAGCACAGCTTTATCTAGCTTCTTATTTAGAAAAAAAAAAAACCTTCCAAAAACTACCAGAGCCTTCATTGTACAAAATTCTTCTAATGTCATTAAAGGATGTTGGGTGGAGAGGAGAGGCTCAAAAAGTCAAGCTTGAGTCCTACATCCAGTCCTCTGATTTTTAGGAAAGGTGATGGTGTTTTTCAGGTTGAGTGATTCCCTGACTAGCCTGGTCCCAAGTCTAGATCCTGGTCTATCAGATGGTCTACTGTTGTTGTGGCGTTGGTGGGTGTTTGGCAGCCAGCGCTCCTCGCTCCTCCTGGCTCAGTAACAAGCTCCTTGTGTCTGGGTACTGGCTGTTGTCAAAAGGCATATGGTGGACACTCTGGACGTGCGTCTTTAGGTTCCCTTTCTGAGAGGCTCGGTATGGGCAGAGGTGGCAGCAGAATGGCCTCTCCCCTGAGGAACACACACACGACACACATTAAGTTGAAAGGTCAGGTGGAAGCCAGAGAGGACGTCACACACAGAACTTGGAGACATTTGGACAAGACTTTTTGGATAATTCTAAAAATACAGGGGATTTAACAAGACACAACGACGTAAGCACGGACGAGACTCGCTGCAGTGGAAACAAAAAAAGGGGGAGAAAAAAGCAAACACAGACAAACATAAACCAAGACACATGATGGCATTCAACTAGAAATAGGGAAACATTATGCAGGTCAAGAGCAACATTCACATTAAATTTTTTACACCTAATTTCACTTAAACAGTGAACTTTCTCTATCCTGGCCCAGATGGACTAACTCTTACTTTCTCTTTTCTGCCATCTGGAGAAGAGCGCCACATATCCGCTGTCTGAACAGTCCTACTTTTGTCTCCATGTATTTCTCTCAATCACCTGGGCCACCCTACACCCCCACACATACACTCAAACACACTCCATGCACACCCTATAGTCTCTCTTCTAATTAGACTGACCTACAATGGCACAGACACCTCGGCAAAAATATAAAAAAAAATAATATAAGAATAAGCAACACACACCTGAACAAAACAAATGAGATTGCCATTTAATTGCACCTAATTATCATTTTGATAAATGGAAGAGTATCAAAGCGGGAAAACAAATGACTCCCCGTGCCCCTCCCGCACCCCTCTCCCTAAAGAAGAAACAAGGAAATATAGCTGTTATCATACATCATCAGAAACACAACAGAGAGAAAGAAGGGGGGGAGGAGAGAGAGAGATAAAAACAAAAAAAGGTATAATTAATCACATAAAAAACAAAAAAAAGGAAAAAAACACAGCTGGAGAGACGGCGAGGGTGAGACGTGAGAGGAAAGCGAGAACCTCCACGACATCGTCCTGCGAGGAAACATCACTGACGGAACCGGTGCACTACATTATACTAAAGGTTATCGTCACCGTAAAGCAGCGTCAACACTACATCTAATTGGACCCCTCTGCCGCGCCTGCTCCCATCATTCATAGTGTGTGGTAAATCTAAGTCCATGTGGGTGTGTGAGTGTGTGATTAATTAAGATGGAGGCGCAGCGTGTAGAACCCAGCTCTCTCCGAATGTCACAGCAGAACAGATTTACTCCTCTGTCCCCTCTGCCTCAATGCTTGTCTTCATGACTAACTTTGAAAACTCTGAAAAGGCATTAAACAAACTAGGGGGCAACGTATTTGCAATTCTTTATGTCTGTTACATGTTTGTGTGAAAACCCGTTCACCCTTGCCACCAAGAGTAATTATTTTCATTGATGGATAATCTGTCATTTATTTTCTCATTGAATTCATTAATTGTCCTTTAAAAAGAAATGCCCATAACCATTTCCTAAACCACAGGGTGATGACATCAAATGTCCTATTTAGTCTGACCCAAATATATTCAATGTACAATCATATAAGACAAAGAAGAGCAGCAAATTATCACATTTGAAGAGCTGGAACAAGCTTCTTTGGTTTGAAAAAAATTTAATGATTTATAGATTGTCAAAATAGTTGCCAATAATTTTTCAGTCAATCATCTAAAATGATTTATCATCTAATTCTTTTGCTTTAGCCTCTTTTTTTAAGTCTAGGTGCTCAGTACGATCATCTTTTCACGCTGCATTCCCTAGAAATCATTTATTTGTTGATCTTTGATGTTCGATGTTTGATGTTCTGACGTTGAAGTTTTAGTTCTTCAGCTCTTCTGTATGTTAAGCCATGCATCTTTACCCTACATGCAGACATTTCCAGCTGACACACACATTGCAGACTGCATGTCAAAGTGTCAACTGTCATTTGAAAACTTAACAAACATGCTTAGTTAAGTCGTTGCTTGCATTACAGCGAATCATAGCCAAGATTGAAACAAGTGTAAATGTTGTTAACTGTCAGTTGAATGCTCTGACTGCAGCTGGAAACAGGAAAACACATAACTTCCTGTGTAGGAACTGAAAAAACCCCAAATTCCTACCTGTCAGCACTGTTGTGATTTATCTGATGAGACTGATTTTTGTCTGTGCAATGATGTTGATGGAACTGTGCTGTTACACATTGTACTTGAGTCAAACTAGGCTGACTGACTGGAATTTGAAGAGTTTAAGAGAACTGCTCTTGAACTGAATTGCTGTTGTGCTATATCAATTTGTACCAGAAAGAAGCAAATATTACGCGCAAATTAAATCACAATTTGCTATTGAGCTAGTCACCCAAAATGACCTTTAGTTACTATGGTTTCAGATTTGATTGCATACATTCAAAAGTTTTAATCCAGTGTATCTGAAGACAAAACCATACATGTATAATAAGAAGTGATGCATGTATTGAGAGAATCTGACATTTGGCGACATTAAAGGCAATCTGACTTCATTATTGACACACATAGAACTGCTTTTACTCAATTAATAAAAGAAACAGTAACTCTTCAAGTGTAATTAAAATATAAAAGTCACCAAAATTAAAGTCTTCGAAGCAACGTTTAAGCTTTTCAATGAGACCACTGTGATATGTGTACTGGATACACATGCTGATGTCAGGTGTGATCTAGCAGCACGTGAGAATGCCAGGTGTTAATGCCAGGTGCAGAGGGTGCCACATGTGACTATTACACATGGAAAAAAAAAAACACCCACAAAAGGATGGGGGTGCGGGATTGACAGAGACACACACACACACACACACACACACACACACACACACACACACACACACACACACACACACACGCAGAGGTGAGACAATAATAATAAGAAACATGCAGAAGCGATGAGGGAGCCCAGCGGTTAGCCTTTGTGCCACATACTTGTTTGGGAGCTTCAGAAGCGGTGGTGTGAGCGTCAGTACCTCTGTGGAGTCCGTTAAAATCAAACCCAACTGTGGGGGGAGAAGGAGGATGGGGAGGGAGGAAAAGGAGGAGGAGGAGGAGGAAGGGGAGGAGGGCATTCGGTTAAAAGCTCTACCAGATCCACACAAGCATTTTTTTTTTTCCCCCACCACCACCCTGCACACAGTAGCGTTTGCCACCAGCACCCTTGCTAATAGAGGGGGGCTGGCAGTGATGATGATGGTGATGATGGTGGTGATGATGGTTATGGAACCTGGTGGAGGCAAGTCAGTGATTTAATATGACGCATGTTAATAGAGGCCTCGGGGTGGCTGGCCTTTTCTGCATGTGCACGTCCATGCTGAAGACAACCGTCGGTGACAACATTAATTACAGCCTCGGCGAGTGTTTACAGACCCTATGCATGGGTGTGTGTGTGTGTGTTAATGCAGTGTGTGTGTGTGTGTGTGTGTGTGTGTGTGTGTGTGTGTGTGTGTGTGTGTGTGTGTGTGTTTACAATACGGCTTGAGGGGAAGCTGAGCGCTGCATCACTTACCATTTGGCCTCTGTCACTTAGAATCACTGGCTGTGCCACATATCATTCACACTCTCTATAAAGAAGCTACTTATCTCACTGTCTACTGTGATCACTGCCGGCCCAGTTGATGGACATGACAGGACAGGAGAGGATAGAGGAGGAGGAGGAGGAGGAAGGGAGAAATGAAGAGGGAAGAAGGCAGACAAATGGGAGAGGAGAGGAGAGGAGACAAAGGGGAGTAGGAAAGGAGAGGAAATAGGTAGAGGAGAGGAGAAAAGGTGATATGAGAGGAAACAAAAGAGGAAAGGAAAGAAAAGAGGATGGGAGAAAAGACTAGGAGTGGGGAGGGGAGAGAAAGGGACAATTGGCGAGAGTGAAATGAGAGGAACTTAGAGAGGAAATGAAAAAGGACGAGGAGATAGGAAGGGGTGAAATGAGAGGAAACAAGACAGGAAATGAAAGGAAATGAGAGGAAGGGAAACGGAAAGGGGCACTAAGGAAAACTAGAGGGGAAAAGGAGAAGGAGGAAAAGGCAGTATATCTAAATCAAGCTGTTTAGTGAATGGCATTGGGACACATGCAAATGGTTTCATAAGGTTGACGTGGACAAATGCTGATCCACCTCATTAGAATGCGCAATTCCATCTCTCTAATTGACATGTGATTAATAATGTATACAATTTGTCACAGGTCAGTATCCGGAGCAAATCATGTTTCAGTTTAAAAAATAGAGACAGCTGCCCAGCCCAGGGCGGGGAAGGACTCACAGACTGGCTGTCACACTCAACTGAACAAAAAGATCTGTTTTGATTTATTTTAGAGAATGCTGGAACGTAGCGGACGTATGGAGAGTCAGGCAATGAAATATTGTTGAGAATGTGAATCCCCATGCATATATTCTCTATATCTCATGCGAGTGTTTCTGGTTGGATAAATAGCTGCGAGGGCAATGATGTGCGTGCACAGGTGGCACGGGAATGAGTGACGGCTGAAGGAGTGCCCCAAAAAACTTGGAAGATCTTGTAATACATGAATTACAAGTAGCTAATAAGGTTGCTCTACAGGTTAAGGCAGGATGCTGGACTTTGATAATATACAAATCTATCTATCTATCTATCTATCTATCTATCTATCTATCTATCTATCTATCTATCTATCTATCTATCTATCTATCTATCTATCTCTTTATTGCTGAGGTGGTTTGTCTATGTCTGTCATACCTTTTCCTTTTAAATAATTTCACAGGTTTTGCTCTTGCAACTTGAATACCAACCATTTGTCACATATATGCATAGGACTTTAAAACTCATGTTAAAGGATATACCGTCGACATCTTTAGCCTCATTGGACTAGAGACACAGGGCCCTATTTAATAGCACAAAACCCATACTTAAAGGTCCAGTGTGTAACATTTAGAAGTATCAGCTTGGCTGAGTAAATGGGCTTCAGTTGGTTGAAATCTCCCTAAGTGTCACTAAATCCTACACACTGGTCCTTTCCATTGTTTTATCACTCTTATGCTCCATAACTTCTCCTAATTTTACGAGAAAACTTTTCCACACATATATTTTTTATGGTCAGAAGAAAAGAAAAGAATACTTTAATGGAAAATGGTTAATTTAACAATTTAAAAACAATTTTTACACATACAGCAGTAGAGTCTGTGGGACCCCAACAATATGGAAGTAAAGCCAATTTCAAGCAAACACAGGAATTAAAAGCTGACACATACATATAGTACTCAAGTTTATAATTGTAATTTAGTTGACTTGGAAATGTTTTTCATGAGGTGTTGACATTATGTTGTCAAGCCACTGGACGTATGTGTACGTAATGCAATCTGTGTTCCTTTGAGTGTGTTTGTGTGTCACTGTGTTATGCATTTATTTACCTGTATGGGATCTCATATGAGTGCGCAGGTGGCTGGGCTGACTGAAACTCTTCCCGCACTCATGACAGAAATACTGTCCCTGCCGCATGAGAGACCTCAGCATCCCTGATCACACACAGGAGAGAGACACACACAATTAAACAAAGTACTAAAGAGCAAATCAACAAAACATCACACATTCTTCATGTTACAGTGGTCAAAACAGGGGTACGATATAAATCAAATGTATGAGATCTAACTGTGTTAAGATGGTTTTAGAACTTATTCAGTTTAAGTCAACAAATGTTATTTAAGGAAGTCCTAAAAATGACACGGGCTGCATATGAAATCCTTCTCCATTTACTCTAGTGCACTAAATTTACTATCCCCCATTTTATTTGAGTTTCTGAATTCCTCAGAGATGTCTTTCTTGCAAAAACCATTTATATCTCTCTCTTTTAATCTTTAAATAATGCCTCTCTCTGCAGGTGATTTAAAAACGTAAGCACTTTTTGGTATAGGTTTTCACATATGAACACTTAATTTCATATCCCAAAAGACAATTTGCAATGTAAAATATAAATAACAAGACTTTATTTTTAAATTTATGTTCAAATACAAAGGTCAGTGTGTCCTAAAATCACATATGCTTTGAATTCCCATGTGAGATTTCACATGTGACTTTTTCTGAGAAGAAAGGTGGAACAGAGGTGGTGGACATCAGCATCAGTTTATTCCAAGGCAGATGACATTTTCGTGGAAATGTTTGCAGAGATTGAATGAAGACGTAAAGGTCAGTAATGGGCAGAAAGTGAGTGGGTGTACATAAGCGCAGAGCCTGGCTGGAGCGGTGGAGGTAGGTAGCGTCAGTAGTGGACTCGCGCAGGCATCATTAGTATGTCTAATGTGTCATTATGAGCGGCTAGCTCCAGGGGCTGGACTGCAGCTGTCACACAGCATCATCTCAGAGGCTGACAGCCAGACACACACAGCACACACACACCGCATAAATTACAGGCAATTAAAACGCCCCGGCTGTGATGTGCCCGCTCCGCTGCCCGTGTGTCACATGTCAGGTGTGTGTGTCTCTATGTGTATGTGTTTCAGGAGTTGTATGTGTTTGTTCCAAGGGAGGAAAGGGAAGCATGGGCTGTGGCACGCACTGGCTAAGTGTACACACACACACACACACACACACACACACAAGGACACAGCAACACTCCCATTACATGCATAAGACATGTTTATGGCCTTAAAAGGCAGGAAGAAGAAACTTGTTGAATTTTGATGACTTCAAAACTAAATCACGTGACATGACATGACTAAACGAAATATTTTTTTTCTTAGTGGTGAAAAGATTAAACTCATAATGACATCTTCAAATTTACTGGACCACACATCTTATTTCCAGTTTCAATGCTATTGTATTATATGCAGGTAGCAAACTTAATTTTTAAACTTTCTAAAAGATGTTTTTTACTCTCAAATATGGTTATCAGTATCAGTCAAAAAATCTATTTTAGTTGGTTTGGTTTTGGATATTACTTTAAGGCTAATTTAAAAACAAAAAGAAATCCTGGCAAAGCCAGGCAATTCCTAACACACTTAATGAGAGTTCTGAAACTATAATGAGGCAGTATAAGAAAAATGCCACCAGGAAATGAATTGTTAAGGGACAGGACTGTGTTTGGCAAAGCAGACGCAATGCACACTGAATGGTTTAAACAGTGGCCATTCCGCATAAAGAAACCTGTTGTTACACGATGAGGAAAACTGGAATGTCTGTATTTAAGACATCACATTTTTGTAATTAAGATAACTATTTCATAAGGACCTATCAGCCATGTTACAAGCATGTTTTCTCCTCTGGTGTGCACGTAAATGTGGTCAAAGCAGCTGAAGCTAAAGGGACAGCAGCAAGAGGAAAAAGCATTTAAAGATGGTTGGATCCATTTGACGACACTGTGACCACTACACACACACACACACACACACACACACACACATCCTGTGACCTCTCTTGCTGACAGATAACAGGCCTGGGGGTTTGGGGGTACTTTTGGTGAGGGGGACTGTACAAACCCCCAGTAGACACATCAACCCCCCAAGCACTGAGGCTGGTATATACCTGAGTCCAACAGTTGTGTGTATGTGTGGAAAATGTGTGTGTGTGTGTGTGGGGTGGGGGTGGGGGTACGGGGGTGTTGGAGGGCCACAGCAGGACAAGGAGGACAGGGAAGCGGAGGAGGTGACAGAGAGTGTCTCTGGCAGCCCGACTGCTGGCCTCTGGATACTCTACTTCTACTCTGGGCCGCCAGCCCTTCTCACTGATGCACTAATGAAAGACAAGACAGAGCTGGACGGAAAACACAAGCAGACACACACACTCATACACATATTACAGAGAGAAATGGGAGAAAGACTCAGTTGCTCAAAAAAGGTCACTTTATAGCATGTGACTCAAAGGGCTAAGGCAGATCGTGACGATATGCGCCTGGACGGGTGACAGCGATGTCATGCGTCTGCTCTGGGGCTGTTGTCTTTGACCCCTGGCTCCATACAGCCCCACTTGACCTTAGAGACACAACTGAAAATGGGCAAATAATGTGGATGTTCGGTAATGACCATTTCCAAAGCAGCTGGTGGGGTAATTATTCTGTCTCATCTCTCTCTTTGCCTCTTATGTTCCCTCTCTCTCTGTTTTGCCTCCCTCCATTCGCATCTGTGCGAGTCTCTCGTCAGGCAGAGCCGTGACCTAAACAGTTTGTGACAGCTTTCTGGGAGAGTGGAGCTGGAGACTAGGCATGCCTCGCAGACCTGAGAGTAGCAAAGGTTCTCTCACGTCTTTCACAGTGGAAAAAAAAACACACACACTCCTTTTGTATCTAAAAACACAAGCACATATGGACACACATACACAGGCACACACGCTGCCCCAGATACAGCCTTTTATCATGCTTCACAAACATGCAAGCACACATGTGTGTGTCCATTTAATGGAGCTCCACTTCATTATTCAATACCTCGTCAGAATCTAGCAGTATATGTGTCTGTCAATCACTTTCTGCCAGATGGCGAGTTAGTGTGAGAGTGTGTGTTAGAAAGGGTAAATATGTATACCCAATTGAATGGGATTCATATGTTAAGTGGGAATCTGTGTGACTGTGGGTGTCTTTGCTCATTTAGCCCTGTCAAGTTAAGCCAATTCTACTCATAATAGCTCAAAACATTATGCCCAGTCACTGGAAAACATTTCTCTTCAACTCCTGACATTTGGCATTTTCTCCAAAACAAAGATCCTCGGGGCATTTTTGTATGTGAGCTGATGAGGGACTTTCTCCAAGAGAGCCTTTCCAGAATTATGGTATTACAAAACTTAAACTAACAAAAAAACTAAATTTGGCACCGTGCTACTAGAACAATTACACATGTCAAACTGTTGAAAAATGTATCAAGAATTGTTTCCTACCAGTAGGATCCAGCAGTGCATTGGCCGCACCCCAGCGGTGGTACAGGGCAGCCAGTTCATGGGGGCTGTAGTTTTTGAGGAAGCCGAGGACATCAGTTGGCATCTCCGGTGTCTCTGCAATTGGCTCCTGCTTCACATCTCCCTGAGCCTCTGAAGGCAAAGAAGAGGAAGAGGAGGAATTCAGCAGAGTGCCTCCATGTGCCTGGGATGCTCCGTAGTTGTGTCCTGCTGTGGAGCTATGGATGATGGTGCTAGGTCTCGTAGCGTTTGCCCGGCCCTGGCTGTGGGAGTTGGAGTGAAGGGGCTGATGAGTGGAACCCCTAGCTCGGCTGTACTCTGCGAGGCCATGTTTGCTGGAGAGCATGAAGCCCAGGCCCTCTTGAGGCATCAAGTGGCGGTCAGCAATCCTGGATGCTGTAGCAGAGCTGGGACTTGGGGCTGAGCAACGTGAGAGGGCACCAGTGCTCTTCTCCAAGGAGCTGGAGGAAGAGAATGGGCCTCCCCGGGGGTAAATATCCACTTTAGGTCTGAAGCGAGACTGATGACTCTGGTCCTCCATGTGTCTGACACTGCTGCTGGTGCTGCTGCTTGGCCGGGCTGGGACTCTCCCAGCTGGGGTGCTTGAGGTGGATGAGGAGCCCCTGGAGAACGAGGAGGAGGGGGTAGAAGAGGATGATGATGATGATGAAGGCATGGCTGCATGACTGGCTGGCTTGCTCTTCTTCAAAACCTCACTTGAGTAGGTTGGGGGCCGGGTGCGCTGAGCACGCGTCAGTGGAGGCAGCGGTGGACACTCCTTTCCCTCCAGGACTGGCGGGGGACCAGTGCGTCTCCTGGAGGATAATAAGCTGTCCCTCGAGGCCTTAGAGCTGTTTTTCAGGGCCCATTTAGGAGCAATATTTGAGCTACTGCTGTTGATGCGGTGAGCCACAGTCTGATGCATCCAGAGCACTTCGGGGTAGCGGGTGGAGTGAGAGCAGAAGGAGCACTTGTGGTTAGGGAGGCTCTTCCTGTCCAGGTTTAGGGAGGCTATGCCCCTGCAGCCCTCAGCCCTCACACACAGATCCACAGGGGTCATGCTGGGATCAAGTGGGGAGGAACGAGCTGAAAGGTAAGCAGGAGGGGATGCAGAGTTGTTCGAACCCTGAAGAAGAGCTTTTTTCAGCTTGGGATAACCACTGGGGGTACCTCTGTCCGAGCTGGAGCTGGGGCTGGGAATGGGACTGGGTCTATCTTCGGGAGCAACACGGACATGATTTGAATAGGTCTTCAACTCTGTGCTGACAAAGTCACAGTGGCCGCTGATGTAAGGCTTCTCATCTGTAGGGGAAAGAAATGACATCAAGTTGAATGACTGTACAGAAATTATGTACATTATATTCTCTCTTTTCTACTACCAGCTATAAGCCAGAGGTCATTACATCTGTTCGCGTTGCCAGATTTATATTGTTCCATCCAGATGTAGTTTTGGTGAACAGCCACCAGGCTGCAGTATTGGCCAGTATACCTACATTTCCTCTATTCATTGTACATGTGAATGTGTCCTGAAATATAACTATTACCTCTACTATTACAAGGATGATATATACATCAATACAAAAATAAACAATGAATAATTATATATATCATCATCATCATCATCATCATCAGATACTGTTTCAAGGATTTGGTGTTTGTTCAAGTATACACAGTTACTCTGTAATGGATGATGATCGTGTGAGGTGTAGATTCATCTATATCATAATATGGTGGGATGCATACTAGTCTTTGTGGTGTAAAATAGTTACACTATATTATCAAACATTAACATATAATTGAATAAACACCTTTTTGTACATAAAACAAATCAGATATTGTCAAGTTTATAGGGGTCGTAGACTGGGATTGCGTTGGATTGCACGTGTGTTTACTGTATTTAGTCAATATTGCTAATTCCTGAAGTGCAGCTTCATAAATCCCCCACAAGATGGCGTTTGTGACCTGCCTTCTAAGTCAATTTAACTGTTGTCACTGGAAAACTTTTTATCTCCCAGACTGCTCAATTTCAGAATGGAAGAAAATAGCAATACAAATAAAAACAGGATTTATGATAGTATAAGTAGCTGCATTCACGGTGGTTGTAAAAGGTTATTAAATGTAAAGGAATGTAGAACATGAAAATTCTCATGTTGGAATTCAAAGATTTTGAACATAAAACCAAAGAATATTACACAGTGGCTGGGTAATAGAGCATTATATCATCTTACACACGGATTCCCCCCCACACACACACACTTACAGTCTGTAATAGCACATTATGGTACTCTCCACTACCCCTCCTCTTTTTTACAATAACACCAGTAACCTGCCATCTGTTTTCCATTTGGCTTCCTGTTGGCAACACTGGCCAACACTCACAGCTCAGACTCTGCCAAGGTAAAGGCCTGGGGGTGGGCAGTGTAGTAGGGAAGGTAGTTGGACTGATGTGTCCTATTTATTGGTCATTTATTAATCAATCGTTGACCAGTCAGAGCAACAGTAATTGAATATCCTTATTGTCAATAGCTTTACTCGAATTCTTATTGCACTTACAAAGTGTTGGTCCAATCCTGAATGAGAGTCACACCCTAACCCTAACCCTAACCCTCTTACATATTCACACATGCACACAAACATAAAAACACACATTAAAGGTCAGAGTAAGGCAATTAAGACAAAGTATGCAATAGTGCTAACGGACACCAGGAGTGAAACTCAACTGAAAAATGCATAAAGTTGTAGCTTCAATAACCACAGCTGCGTGAATGCTTTTAATCGCTACTATGGTTGCGCAATAATTACCACCAAGAAATTTTTTTTTCAGTCTATAACTGATTTGTCTAAAAGCCTATAATGCTGGTTTGTGCATGTATCCTGTCACTTCTCATTTGCATTCCCAAAAAGTAGCTAAATGGCTGTAAGGGACATCAGAGTGTTTGTGACTAGAGTGTCCTCTGAGTGTCTCTTTCCCCATTGCCTGCATCCCTCTCCATTGGGAGGTGACTCTATAAATAACCAATCCCTCAGACATCAGGCAGCCTGGCTGGTTCAATGGTAAGAAGAGTGGATGAGAGATAGTGGAAGTATCACAGAAGGTAACCTTAGAGATTAGGAAAGAGTCAGAGGGGGCATGGAGGAAAGGTATAGAGCAGAAGGATTGACGGATAGACAGGAGCCTTTAAATCTTGACAATAATATTCTCTTAGTAAATGCTGAATTCCTATATTTGGCTTTGTCACAAATATTAATGCATTTCATTAAATTCAGCAAAGAAATATTTGCACACAGTGTGTATATTGAGCTATACAGTACATTTATTAATATAAAGGAAGTTCAAAACGCCTTTAACTGGTACAGGACAGGACAGTTATTATGTTTCATAACTAATGATTGCTTGTTATACAATCAACAACATCAGTGGAGAGTAAAAGGAAACAGAAATGCTGACAGATTTTCATGGCAAAGACATAAAAAGGAGAGCAAAAAACATATTCACACGCAGATAAGGGGGGCGAGGGGAGTTTCCTGAGACAGGAAGACCTGAAATAGCACACAGCTCGATCAGGCCTGAAGAAATGTTGCTGCTATTTTTGAATGTCTGTACTAACAGGGAGGAATGGAAGCAATCACTACAATGCTCAGTTATCCACTATCCTAACCAGTATAAATAGTGTTTTTTTAGTGAGTTTGAAAGTTAAAAGACAAAAGCCTGAGAGCTCTGAAGTGCTGCATACACAGGAATCCTTCCTTTATCATATTTCAGCCATGATTGTGGGTGTTTTGCCCTTGCATGGGTAGGTTTTCTTTTTTTGCCCTGCAGTGTTTATTGGTTGTGGAGGTAAAAAATGATAGGCATTCCAAAAATGCCCTATGCTCTACTGACATGCCACTGAAAGGCACAAAGTTTCACTAAACTGTTGGCTTTATTGCTCTGTGATAGAAAATAATTGCACTGTTGTAAACAGAATTTTAAGTGGCAGTTAAAGTTTATTGACCATATTTGATAGTATTCGTGAGCAGCACTCTATAAAAGATCTGGAGTCGGATGTCATTTTGACATTTAGCCACAGGGTGGCTCCAGTTCCCACCCCTTTGAGACTGATGAGCTGAGGAGGTGCACCTACACAAAGCATTTCATCAACAGATGTTTACTACAGAGTGACAGACTCAGAGGCCTCGGGTGGGAGGCTTGAAAAGGGCTACAGTCATTTCTGCCGCAAAATACTCTGCAGAGTGTGTTTCTATTAGTGAACTTATGTGTTTACCATTCCTTTACTAGTACAGCAGTTACATTGTCCTATTGTTTTATTTAGAAAGTTGAGAACATCTTAAAAGGGTAAATAGAAAAGTGACTTGGCAATGTTGGTGAAAAGCACTGAACAAAAGACCAACAAAGGAATTTTCAGTTCTATGACCTTCAATTTGTGTTGCTTAACTGTTAAAGAAAAAAAAAAAACAACGGCACATTATACTACAAGTACAAGTTTTACTTCTTCTTCACTTATACTGCATATTTGACTGAATGATTAGAATTAAGTTGCAAATCCCAAATTAGTAATATTTACCACCAATCATATTGAAGATAAGTTCTTCAATACTCGGAAAAACACATGATAAAACTTTTAAAGAAAGACTGAAGTTTTGGACTAACCTGTAATCTCTCCAGAATTTGCAGTACCCATCTCTGAGGCCTGGTCTCCAAGGGTAGAAGCTGGTGGAGAGTCTCCATACCCAGGGGTACTGGGCCGGCTAGGGGAGCCTGACTCTGGATCACTGGTGGAGCCCCATCGGTCATCTCTTGCAGATCTGTCCTTGTCCCCCATAGATGCCCTTCCTCCATCCTTTCTGTGGACCCGCTGGTGAACGATCATCTGGTGACGACTGCGAAACACCTTCCCACACTCAAAACACTCGTTGGACTTGGAGGAACCTTGTGACTGAGATGATCGTCGTCGGTCCTGGCGAGACGAAGGCCGGTATTCTGAGTCACTGAAGCTCTCTGGTGTCCGGTCCCCTGAAGAAGCATGGCTTCCAAAACCAGTGCTGCTGCGTCGCCCCGAGCTGCGTTTCTCTTGACCTTGCAAGACATATCTGCTGCTCTCCTTCTCAAAAACCACAGCGGCCCCAGCCAGGGCCTCCTCACCCATACTTCCTCCCCCGTATGAGGCTTTGGAACTCGGCTCCACAGGCTCCACAACCCTTCCTTTAGTAGCTAATTGCCAGGCTTGGTAGCTGCAGACTGGATCTAGCTCTAGGATTCTTTGACCTAGCATCTTCTTCTCACTCTCTTCCTCTTCATCCAGGGTTTTATCCTCAGCTGGCTGGAGGCTTAAGTACTCAAGGTAACGTCTCTTAGCAGCTGGTGAGTCCTCATCATCACTGAGTTTGCACTGGCTCTGGGTTTTTCTGCCATAGCAGAGACTATGGACTTTTTCATGGACCCTCAGGCTCTCCCTGCTGTGGAACAGGTTCCCACATTTGGAACACATTTGATAGATGGATGTGACAGCGGCAGTGACAATATCAGGATCCTGGGCTACGTCGTTGATGGTGGCTGGTTGCTCAGCTGAATCTGCTTTTGACCGTGACCTGGATTTGGTGTTGTGTGTTTTCATGTGCGATTTGAGAAACCAAGCTTCGCGGAACCGTCGTCCACAAATACGACAGCAGTGGTCCAGGATCCCAGCATGTTTCTTCATGTGTGACTTCAGAAACCAGGCCTGGGTAAAGACTTGGCCACAGGTCTCACAGGGGAAGGTCCCATCATTCTGGGGTTGGAGGACATCAGGTTCGGCCACAGCCTCTTCCTTAACATTGGTCTCTTCCTCTGTGTCTGCTGTTATGTGGACCTTTTCAATATGGCTGAGGAGCTGGTCTTCTCGCAACGCCTCGTAGCCACACAGACGGCAACAGTAAGGCCTCTGGTCAGTGACAGACTTCTCTCTTTTCATGCTCCTCCCAGGCACTTTCCTCCGACTTTCCTCACTGCTATCCCCATTTATCACCCGGTTACAGGCTGAGCTGCTCTTAGTTGGACTTGTACCTCCGTCGAGACCCTCTGAAACACTCATCTCTTCCTCCTCAGCCCCACCCTCTTCATCCTCATTGGAGTGGTGGCTAGAGAGCGTGCCCAGTTTGTGGCTGCGAATGTGAACTTTGAGGTTTCCCTTCTGAGAAGCCCTGTGGTCACAGTAGGGGCATTTGTAAGGGCGTGCACCTGTGTGGCGTCTCATATGCTGCGACAAAGAGCTGAGGAAAGGGAAGCTGCGTCCACAGATGTTGCAGTCATAAGCCCCGGGGATTTTGTCATCTTCACCCTCAACCTCGTTTTCAGGGTTGACCTTGTCTCCAATCAGCTTTTCCTTCTGACTTTCTGCCTGGGTTTCCATCATCTCCACACTGTCTCTAGGATTCATTGTACAAACTAACCTACCCTGTCTACCTGGCCTTTCGCAAGCTCGGTAAAACTTGAAACTACTGCTATCTGCAGCTGGACATCTAGGGATGTCTAGTGTGCCTTTGTTGGTAAGTTAAAATGCTATCTGCCTTCAATCATCCAGAGATCAAGCTGCTTACACAGCAGCTCATTTAGCACTCTCCAGTTACTGGACGCACCATCTATCCATCTTCATCCAGCGCTGTCAGTGTAAATCAGTGGCTCAAACTACCTGCGTGCATAGAAAGCAATGTATGTAGCTTTATCATTTATTTTGACACATGCAGGGAAATGTCAACTCTTTTTCAGGCTGAATAAGTCCCAGCATATAAATTACGACTGAGATTTAACAGTCTCTTTGTCAAAAGAGGTGGAGGTTTTCACTCAATTCCAGGTCATCATTGTGTCCGAGGAGAGAAGTTTTAAGAGGTATTTTCATCAGCGTAGCTAATCCACCACACTTACTTTCTTCTTTTTATTGGCTTTTCTTTATTTTCTTCAATTTTAAGCACATTAGCAGCCTCCAGGTCATGAGCTCCCTATTGCACGGCCTGCATATCTTTTACCTGAGAATGAAAGAGAGAGAGAGTTTGAGGGAGACAAAGTGGGGAGGAGGGTGAGAAGAGAGACAAAGAACATGTTAGTAAAGCAAAAGACCTGCGGTTGGTGATCATCACAAGGCAAATCACCAATAGAAATAAAACAAAATCCAAGATATCTTTAGAAACAAACAACTTGTGATTTAAGTGAAAAAGTGAAAGAGTTTTATAATCAAAATAAAGTATGACACCAGTAGCTATAGTTAAAATGTACCTCTTTTTATTGACATATTTTTTACCCCTTCTTAAACCCCCCAAAACTATTGTAATTTAAATTAGCTTGAATTTATCCAATAAATATTTACATCAGTATAAGCTGAGTGTAGGTGGGTTATGTATCATGTATAAAGTCTGCTATGTATCTGTGGCACTATACACAAGCGTGTGTGTTGTGATTGTGCATGAGTCGTGCAGGGCTTGGGGGCTCTGATGCCACACTGGCTGAGTCGACACTTTACACAATCGGGGTGGGGGAGCGCAGCGGGGTTGGGGTTGGGGGGCTGCGTTCACATCAGCAAGATCAGCAGTGCCACCATATTCCCTCCCCATACTGGCCTCACGCACCCGCCTCAACTGACACTATCACATGACAGGGATCTTAAGTACACAACAGGAAGTGGCTCTTCAGACAGTTTGCTTTGCTCTATTTCTCAAACTGGAGTTGAATGGGGTCGGGGAGAGAGTCAAACAGAAAGAGAAACAGAGAGGGTGATAAGAAGGGAAAGACAAAGACTTTCAGTGTTGACTAATTTCATACTTCATACATTTCTTTCAGTGGGTGGAATATTTTCATAATTTGCATATTTTCATCAACAGTTTTTGTGTGAGTGTGTTTGACTGCTGTTATGTTGAAGCATTGAAATTCTGCTGTAATTCATATGCATGCATTACACTGTATTATGTTATACATATGTCAAACTTGTTAGACGTTTTCAACACTTTATTTATTATAACCTATTCTTATTTCTTGCAGCACAGTCCAAATCTTTTCACAAGAATCACTCGAAGTTAATCACATCTTTATTCTTTCCTCCCTGCCAGCCCTGACATCATTAAATGAGACCCTTTCTGTTGTAGCTCTGTTGATCAAACGGACACAGTTTTTTCTGGAGTATTAATTTTAGCAGATACTAGACGCTGAAAGTGTGGACTATATGAAATGTGACTGACAGCATTATTACATGCTATTATATAAAGTGCCAGAGCCCATAAGCTGAGTTTCTGCCAGGCTCTAATTATAAGTGGATAATTGATCATAATCACAAGAGGATAAGGTGGTAGAGGAGGGAAGTTAGCACAAGAACAATCATATGTCTTAAACTCTCGCACTGAAAATGACTACCCTGCGCCAGAGCCACCTATCTATCTAGAATGATTTATGCTATTGAAATCAGCGCGGCCTCAATGGTACACCATGCTTCCTCCTGGGCTGCATAGTAAGCTAAGGCTTCCGGCTAACAAGCAGAGCAGTGTTCCAGCTAGAAGTGCAGCTGTGTGGCTGACATTATTTTGAAACAAAATATATTTTCAGATAAAGACCTTTTATAGGCTATAATATAAGGCTTTAATGTTAATCTAAAAAAGAATAAAGGCTTACTATTCCTGCTTGCATTTGAAAACTCTAAGCCCTCTACAGTTTTAGCCATGCTCACAGCGTGGCTCTATGTATGGCAGTGACACTGCGTTGGTCATTTGTCCACAACTTTTGTCCAGACTGAAATATCTCAACAACTACTTGAAGGATTGCCATAAAAAAATCTATATACGTTCAAGTTCTCCAGAGGAGGAATCCTGATGACGTTGGTGATCTGACTTTTCCTCTAGAGTCACCAAAAGGTCCAGGTTTTCACTTATTCTACATGATGTTGGGATGGATTGGCACAAAATGTGACATTCACAGGTCCCACAGGATGAATCCTAATTGCTTATCCTTCAGTGCCACTGCAAGGTAAACATAAGCGGTTTTGATTAAAATATCTCAACAACTACTAGATGGATTGCCCTGAAATTTGGTACAGACCTTATATTGACCCATTGAGGATAAAGTGTAATTATGATTTTTCATCTAGAGACATATCATTAGGTCAAAATGTTATTTTGTTCAATGCTTGGGATTTGAGAAAGTTAAGAGGAAGGAAAAGAGTCGTAAACTTGACACATTATTTAAATGATGAACAACAAAGCTGGAGATGATAGACAATCAGGTGATGATTGACATAAACCTGCAAAATAAGGAAAACAAAGCCGTGCAATCTATCCGTCCATGGTAGTTTTCCCCTCCATCTGTCCCATCTGCCCTCTGTCTCCACATCCGAATGTTACTCATTAATACTTAGTAGTTTCTTCCAGTTCTGGCGCTAAAAACAGAGGATAATAATCTTATTTCCTATTAAATGGCCTTGCTGATTGGGGGTCCGGAGGGCTGGGGGGGTTGAGGGCTATTCAACAGTAAGCCTGTCATCCACCAGACAGTTGCATGTGCAAATTGAAATGTAATGAGATTAGCCACCAGAAGGGAAACAATGCAGGCTCCTCGCCATACAGGCGAGGCGAAAAAAGAAAAAAGAAAAAGACAAATTGGCTTAAGGAGGGAGAAACTGTGCAGGAGAGACAGACAAGATTACCAATCATCAAAGTCATCAAAAAGGAGAAATGGCATCAAAGCTCTGTTAAAGGCCAACATTGTGCAATAAATGGATACAGTGTCGTCTTGATGCTAGCAAGGACAGTTCACTTTGTAAATCCTGACTGTCATTGACATCCTCCAGCTAATTAACCCCCCCTCCTCTCTCTCTCTCTCTCTCTCTCTTTGTCACACACACACACACACACACACACACACACACACACACACACACACACACACACACACACACACACACAAGGATTAATCAGGCTGGAGATGGTGTGCAGCTGAAATTGGTGTTTTATTTCTTAGTTTAGTGTCTTTAAATGTTGTATTCTGATGTAAAGTTGTCTTTTCTTCGAGCAGGAACATTTTTAACTTTAAACACCAGTTTAACTCTATTGGGAACATCATTGGTTTTATATTAGACATGCCATTACTGAACACTTAAGCTTCCCTACCATGACTCACTGGGAGCGAGTGGAGGCCTACACTTGGCTGATAATGACTGCTGTGTCAAACAAAAACAAACTGCTCTCTTTTTTCCCTCCTTCCTTGCATACTCAACCCTCCGCTGTTCTGCTCTCTGAACACTGAACCGTGGCAGCTGAGGTCCGACAAGAGGAGGAAATCCAGTCTAATTTTCCCATCCATACGCAACCTTTTCAGAGCAGCCTGGCTATTTCTGTTCCAGAGACTCCTGAGATTCACATCTGGAGTAAATCTTGAAACAAACAGTGTCAAATGTGCGTACAGGCCACTAGATAACCTGCTTACAGCTGTATGGTAAACTGTTTTGGATTTCCTTTCACACATTAGTACCGTCACAAAAGCAGATGTTCAACTTAACAACTAAGTTTAATATCAATACTACCATGATACCATTCGTTTTTTTATGACGATCAGACGTTTCTTCTGACTCTGACTGAATACCTGTCATTAAGAAAAGAAAAGAATCCAGTTCTAAAACTAAGTGGTCTGACTTTGCTCTGTGCTAGTCATTATTGCCACTGCTCAGTTGCTCCCTCTAGAGGCCACACATTCAGCCTGCAGTAAACATCTGGTGCAATAATATGAAGAACCTATTCAAATATGGTTCAAAATAGAACTACTGCAGTCTAAAGAGCATTGCATTTGCACAAAGAAGTATAGTAATACAAAGGTTTAGCAGGAGGTGCTAAGCCTCATCGTTTGCTCCTCTGTGATAGAAAACACTGTCATCCAGCCAGGAAGCACCTTCATCATAGCAATCATCTCAGAGGCAGCCATGACACAAATCTCCTGCACCCAAGGGTGTGGAGATTGGCTTTCATAACACACTGACTCACTCACACTGTCACCTTATCACTGATAATGACTGTAGGTCGTTCTCGTGTGGGACATCCTTCAGCCGTGATGGGATCCGTTTCCCTCCCACACAGCAGCACAGAGACGAGCATTCGAGGTTAAGAAAAAATACACAGCGGGGGGAAAAAATAAAGAGTGGACCTCTTGTTTAAATGCACACACACTCACGCGTACATGCAGGGGAACTGAGGAATCAAGAAGCAAAACAGAGGGGGCTTTTAATGTTGTCCACACACATCTTTTGAAAGTCTATATGTGCACACTGTGGGCTTTTAACACTGTTTCATACAGGCAGCATTGAGAGCTTAACGACCCATACAGAGAGCTGCTCACACACACACACACACACACACTCACACACTCACACACACTCACACACTGCTTCATGGAGCATAGCATACAGAGAGCACTTTACAAAAAACCTTGCTATCCTCTGTACAGTTGCTCATAAAGTGGAGACATTCAGTGCTCCGAGTGGGACAGAGGGGATGGTATGGAGTCTTAAACACACAAACACACACACACACACACATACATACACACACAGCGCAGTGTATTCTCAGACCAATCAATAATCCATTATGAACAAACTGCTCTTCACCTCACACCCTGCTCTAAACCGGCAGACAAAGAGGTCTGCTGCAAGCTCCACGATGAGGAGAGAGAGAGGGGTAAAGCACAGCTGGATGCACACCCACACACACCTACAGGCTGTTTGCAACACACACACTGGAGTTTTAAGACATTTTTAGGGGTGACAAATGTGTCAGCTGCGGAACACACACACAAAAAAAAGCTTTTTGTGAACTTTGTGGTTGACAAACAAGGTTTTGCTTCAACTGCTTTTAAGTAGTGTAAATTCAGTCAGATTAAATCGCATTCATCTTATCTTTAAACTCTGAAGTTGAAAGTGGAAAACAAACGCATAAAAGTCCCTTTCTTCTTTTCACTACATGGAAACTATAAATAGTACAAAAAGGACACTTTCAAAAAT